TATTAATATTTAATTTCGCATAAAATAGGTAAATTTAAATATGCAATATCATTATAATTTAAATAAATTAATCGAAAAATATTTATTCAGGCTTTTTATCTTCATTACATTTGAATATTTATACCCTACAGCATTATAGTGGGAAGGGTATTATACGTTTGTGCTGATGTTTATAACTTCTACAAATATTGGTACTGCACCCACCTTAAACTTGATAACGAGTAAAAGCGGTTAATAAAGTCTAAATCTTACTGCCGATTTTCGTAATGATCGGTCCTCATCTGACCCTAGCCCCCATACAATGTCAGCTTCAAAAAATGACAAAAATTCCAAAAATTCCAAAAATTCACTTAAAAAGACTAATAACACGATGAAATACTGCATTAATAACTTTTATGTAGACGTAAATTTCTCTACCAAAATTTATGAGGATAGACCCATATTTACCCTTACCCCCATATAAGCCCTCTTTTAGAAAATATTTTTTATTATTAACAAATTATTAAAGTACTCGGAATTAAGGTAAAAAACAAGTTAGTTGCATTATTATTTAAAAAAAATCCACATTTTTAACATACTCACTACTGTAGGGTATCATATGCTTGGCCATGAACGACTATATATTCTTTCTTGTTATACCCTACACCACTTTAGTGGGGAGGGTATATTGGGTTTGTGCTGATGTTTGTAACGCACAATAATATTGGACCTATACCCACCTTAAAGTATATCAATCTGCTTAGAATCATTTTACAAGCCCAAATAGGGCTTGTAAACTTTGTAATCAAATTACAGGTCGCAAATTTGAAGATAATTCAATGAAATTTGGTACATGATCTTCTATGGTACCGCAGACGAAGCCTATTGAAAATGATTAACATCGGTTCATTATTTCACCTAGCCCCAATACAACTGAAACACCGAATAGGGCTTTTAAGTTCATAATTATGTTTAATGTACTCGTATCTCGATAAAAAGCTGAAAAATCAAGTTCTATACTAGCCTTGATGACCCTCATGAATTTTATAATTATAGGGTCTCATTTGACCCTAGCCCCTATACAAAGCCCCCTTCAAAATTTAACTTAAATGTCCACAATTTTATTCAACAATAAATGGCTTAAGTATATCTGAGGCAAGGTACAATTCAACATAAATGCTTTATTGTTAAAACTAAATCACATTTTATTTTTGTAACAGGTGTAGGGTATTATATGGTCGGCCTCGCCCAACTATAATTTCTTACTTGTTTTTTATTATATTATTGGCAACAAATTAATATGGAAGTGTAAGTTATAATTTCTTTTAACAGAGACTGAAATAAAATAAATACATTTATATACATTAGGGTGGTTCCGTTTATATGGAGAAGAATATTGTTCCTACTGAAAATTTTAGCATGGTTCATTTTAAGATACCATTTCTCAAAATTCTTGTTCTGGGTTCAATATTTGGCCAAAATGGTTCTAATTTATGGTTTTTCCTATTCTGCAATATTTCGGTTAAACTTAACTATTTCTTTAGTAATACTATGAAAACATAAAGTGTTATATATCAAAGAAATGCAATTATACGTATAATGATTAAATAGCTAACACAATATCGGGTTTTGAAAAATTAAAATAAAATACTAACTAGATAGAATCTTGAAAGACATAGTAGGATATATAAAAAAATTAGTTTAGCTCACCAAATACTAACGCCAGGACAAAAAATTTGAGAAATCGTGTTTTGGACTAAACTAAATTTTAATTTCCGATCGGAATATCGGTAACTTCCATTTTGGAGGAACCCTAATATACATATGTACTCTATCCTATAATTATCGATATTGTAAGTTTTGGCTGATGTTTGTCAGAGAGCTAAATTATCAACCTTTCTTTTCTGCTATAATGGAACCGTATTTGATTTAGGAAAATCCGTATTTACCGTGCTATTGCTTTGCTAGTATTATTTAATTATGGATTAGAAACCCGTTTAAATAAGTATAAATTGTTCGAATCTGGACATAATATACCAAATACGTTGATGTAGGTTATCCCATAGTCGGTTATGAACAACTATAATTTATTGTTTGTTTTTATACCCTACACCACTTAAGTGGGGAGGGTATATTGGGTTTGTGCTGATGTTTGTAATGCACAATAATATTGGTCCTATACCCACCTTAAAGTATACCAATCGGCTTAGAATCATTTTTTGAGTCGATTTAGCTATGTCCGTCGGTCTGTCCGTCTGTCCGTCCATTTAAACCTTGTAATCAAACTACATGTCGCAATTTTGAAGATAATTCAATGAAATTTGGTACATGATCTTCTATTGTCCCAGGAACGAAGCCTATTGAAAATGGTTAAGATCGGTCCATTATTTCACCTAGCCCCCATACAACTGAACCCCTGAATAGGGCTTGTAAACCTTGTAATCAAACTACAGGTCGCAATTTTGATGATAATTCAATGAAATTTGGCACATGATCTTCTATAGTACCGGAGATAAAGCCTATTGAAAATGGTTAATGGTGACGAATAGGGCTTTTAAGTTCATAATTATGTTTAATATTCTCGTATCTCAACAAAAAGCTGCAAAACCAAGTGCTATACTAGCCTTAATGACTCTCATGATGATGGGCCTAGTATTTACATATACATACATACATACATATGTAGGTATGTATATGAGCAATTTTGTGTCAAGTGACATAACTCAAAAAAATTGATTTGAATGAAATTTGCAGGCTAGTACTATAGGATAGTAGGCCAGACACAAATTTCCAGCTCTATCGGTCAAGAACTGCTGGAGTCAGAGTGTGTCAAAATTGCACATTTAGGTTATACAGGGTTTTATTCAAATGAGTGTAACTTTTCACCTATTGATCGTAGGAAAAATTGTCCAAAGGTGCAAATTTCATCCAAATCTAAAGACATCGATTTTAAAAGTTGGGTCACTTGATTCGAAAATTTCCCATATTTATTTATTTATTTGTGAGAGGTGTATTTAATTAAATTCAACACATCCAAATGTATGCTAGTTTATGTCTAGCTCTTTCTCACGTTTTTATTTAAAATGAAAACAAAAAATTTGTTTTTGTAGTTTATAAAAGAATAAAAATTAATCAAGATGATTATTTATATATTTTGAATAATTTTAAAGTCAAGTTCTGCGGTGTCTTGTTTCTTGGTTGTCGCAACATAAAAAATTCCATAAATGTTTATAAATAATAACCAGTTATTGTTTTTCTCTTTTTATATCAATTATAAACGAACGAGGGTTAATTGAAAATGTTGGAAATTTTGAAAAATTTATTTTTAGTTGTAATCAGAAATCATACGATTATAGATATTAACTACGAAGTGGTTTTTTTATAGCTACTGTTAAAAATAATTTTCTTAGAATTTATATAATTTATAAAGAAATAGTTGTAAACATTTTTTTTTAAATATTTAGTAATAGAATTCATTAAAAAGGTCTTTAAAATGTATGCAAATAGAAAACAATATTTATAAACATCACTTTAGTGGGGAGAGTATATTGGATTTGTTCTGATGCATGTAACGCATAGAAATATTGGCCTTAAATACACTCATCTTAAAGTATACAAATCGGCTCAGAATAATTGTCTGAATCTATTTAGCTATGTCCGTCTGTCTGTCTGTCCATGTAAACTTTGTAATCAAACTACAGGTCTATATAAGTCTAAATGATATTGCCGATTTTCGTAATGATCGGGCCTCAGTTGACCCCGAGCTTTTAGCCCCCATACAAAGTCTCCTTCTGAAAATGACTTGATGTTCAATAATTCACTTGTAAACATTAGTGTTACAATGAAATTATGCCTAAATAAATTTAATATCAACGTAAATCTCTCTATGAAAATGTAGAAGGATTTTTCCCTTGTCCCCTTTATAAACTCTTTTTCATAAAATTATTTTTTTTTGTCAACAAATTGTTAAATATTTTAGAATTAAGGTAATAACTACTTAACAACTTTATTTTTAAAAATAATCCTAATTTTTAACCTACACACTGGTGTAGGGTATAATATGGTCGGACATGACCGACTATACATTCTTACTTGTTTGTTAATACATCTGTCTAGACTAGGCAACGGCAGAAAGTGGTAAAAGTTTTCTAAGGTCGGTTAAATTTATTTTAATACCCTACTATTAGTGAGCAGAGTATTATGAGTTTTTCCCGATGTTTGTAACGCATAGAAATATTGGTCATATATATAAAGTATACCAATCGGTTCAGTATAATTTTCTATGTCGATTTAGCTATGTCTGTCCATGTAAACAAAATTGTAAAGATAAGTTAAGACACAGTTTATTATATCACTTAGCGCCATGCTTAAAACGGATCCGATTTGGGCCTTATTAGATCACAAATATGCCAAAAATCGGCATAACTAATTTATATAAAATTATAAACAATACTGCCGATTTTAGTATTGATCGGACCTCAGTCGACTCACGCCTCCATACATATTTCCCTTCAGAAAAAGACTTAAATATTCATGTCATGTCTGTCTATACTTTTCTACCTGTAGGGTTTAGGTATGTTTAAAAATTTGATAGTAATAATGCCCATGATAGATCTCCTGTTCGATATCTAGCCTGAATTAGGTACCGGTAAAGAATCCTCTCTTGATCTGCAGTAATACCTTGCTTTCACAAAAGTGTTAGCTGATAACTACATTTGCTGATTTGCTACTCATTTGATACGTTTCATGAATATCCGAGAGATTGTGTTTGAAACGTCTGACTTTTATTACAGAAAGTACTTCTTGAGAAATGTAAAATTTTTGTAATATCAAAAGAAATAAACTTGAAAAAATTTTTTCACAATCAATTATATCAACTATACTAAAAATACGATCATCACCAATACACCACAGAACTCTTAATGTTAAACCTCGTATGGGGGAAGTCCCAAACAGCTGCTGCCGATCAAAATGAATTGTTTGTGTTCTCTTAAGGCATAAAATGAAATACACATTCAGTTGATAAGAAGACTGGCATTTGTTCATTTAATTTTGTAAAGAAAAATAAAAATTTAATTTGTATGTATTTCAATCAAGTTGATTTTCTTTAGTGGTTCATTAAATTGTAAATTAAATGCGTTTTCAGAATCAGTTATGCACAATAAGCTGTTCGACAAAGTTGTATTTGTTAAAAAAAAAAAAAAATCAAATAAAAATTGAAGTAAAATAATATAAAAACAAAAATAACAAGAAAAACTTCTATTTAAAACTTATTTATAAAAAAAAAGAAAAACATAAACCAAAGATGTTTAAAATTTATTTAATAACTATTATATTGATAAAATTAACTTTTGGCTTGCCAACAATAATATTTCCCTCCGATTGGGAAGATGAACAAAGATATAAAGTGATAGAATTTCAGCCGAAAATTCGAACTGCACCCAAAGCCATTATCTTTCCCGAAGATGATTACGATGATGACGTTGTTGACGAGAGCCATAATAATAATAATTTATTTAAAGATTATAAACATAATGCAAAATATCATCAGAATCAATTAAATCAACGCAGTTTGCCGGCTGTTGATAATGAATTAAATACTACGAATATAACATTGGAAAATCGATTCTTATTTCGAACTGTACGAAATTGTAAATGTAAATTTAATGGAAGATGTGCTAAAAAACAGGATTGTTGAAATTGTTTTTATTTTATTAATAAAGCATTATTTTAAACAATTTGAAATTTGTTGCATTTTTTTTAATAATAAAGGTTTTATTTTTAAAATAAGAAACTAAAAGTGAGACAACAATTCTCTACATTATAAATAATCCAAGATAATTTTAACACTGAAATGCACATTTACATATGTTTTAATATAATTTCGAATCATTAGCAATAAAGTGATGCAAATAAACATATGCACACAGAGGGAAAAGGTACCAAATTGATATCAAAGAGTTTATAATTTATTTTACGTACGTACGACAACACTATGAAATGTTGACAACGCAACGTTGTCAACATTGCAACAATTCGTTGTCGAAATCTAAATTTTATACACATCCGTTGTCTAAATGTTAACAAACGTGGTAAGCTCACGGATTGTTTGTCAATAGTGAGCTTACCACGTTTGTTAACATTTAGACAACGGATGTGTATAAAATTTAGATTTCGACAACGAATTGTTACAATGTTGTCAACATTACATGGTGTTGTCGTACGTATGTACTTTGACAACGGATGGCATTGACAAATTATGAACAGTTTGGTGGCAATTTGGTACCAGGCGTGTATATTTCATTTTCTCTATGTGCAGATCCAGTCGAATTTAAATGTATCCTAAATAATTCTCTGAAATGTACTCACACCTAAACACACTACATTATTGGTCATAGTTCCCTCTTAAAAAGGAAATACAATCCCTGTTCTGTAGAGTTCGATACAAAAGCAACGATAGTCATGTAAGATCCGAAATCAAGTTGAAATTTTCTTGATATTTTTCCATGGAGGGTATTACAGATTCGGTCTGATGTGTGGACTTTTATATAATTTTGATTTTCTACTGCTGGTTTCTTCACCTGATCAAAGTACATAATCTATATTTGCACAGATCAAGGGTTATCTGTAAACTACTAAATTGATTTTTGTGTAACCAAATACAAAATTTTATGGGAAGCATTTTAACAATACCCAGCAGTTTGACAAAAAGTCAATGCATCCGAAAAAGACAGTAATTTCCATTAACGTCTAACCGCCTGGTTGGCTCTAATATATCTTTCGTCACGAATGTACTATATTTTTTGGAAACAATGAAGAAATAGCTTTCTGAACTCCTTTGAACAATTTTTGCTAGGAGCAATAGGTAAAAAGGAATAAAACCCTGAATGAGCTCAATGTCCAACTTTGACCCCCTCTAAGTCCAACAGTTCTTAACCGATAGAGTTGAAAATTTGTGTCTGGTCTACTATCCAATAGTACATACAAATCGGAAGACATCGATTTTAAAAGTATTATACATTTACACATACATAGGCTATACCTTATCACTCTGCTGGAGAGTATAGAAAAAACATGATGCTGAGAGAAATCTAAAGCGAAATTTGTTTACATTTATAATTAAATGATAAGAAATGTAAACAAAAAAAAATTAATTAAAAACAGAAATCTTAAGGTATTAATTCTACTAGAAAGTCGAATCAATTTGCTGGCTATAAAAATTAATTTTGTTGTTAAAATAAGTGCAAAGTCCAAAGATCTTTCATTTAATTTGAAACGACAATAAAGAAACAAGTTTTACTTGAAATTTCTATAAGAATCAAAAATATAGTTTTCTGAATGCCAAGTACGGAACCTAATATATGCGCAAAAATCTACAATGAGTCAAGCTTCATTAAGTTTTTTAGATTTATAGTGGTTTCTACAAAACTTTTTCAAATTAAATATTTAGACTCAAATGATTTTCTCAAGAGAGGCTCCTAAGGAGACGTTCCTTAAACAAAGATTTTCTCATTCTCTCTGTAATACATATTGGTCGTAGACTCATAAAGGATATATGTATACACACAGAAAACAGATCGATTGGAAATCGGTTACCATGATAAATATTCAGTTAAATTAATTAAAATTGTATCGCTGTTATTGAAAAACTGTATAATTAACCGATTTTCTATACTCAGTATTAAAAAACCATAATAATAATCGAATTGTGGTTTTAACAATTTCCAAATCAATAATTTGAACTGAATTGTATCGGTTAGTAAATTCTTTTGTTAATTCAGTAAATGCAGCCGAATTTTATTTAGGATTAGAACTTTAGAACGTCAAATATTAGTCGCTGTAACCGAAAATCAGTAGAAAGTAAAAAATATTGATCATTGCAACCAATTATCAATTGGGAAAATTATTTAAAAAACTATTGCGGTTAAAGGAACCAAATTCGGTGTTCACAACCGATTATTTGATAATTATAGTTGACGTTAACAAAAATAAATAAAATAAAACGAATTTATAATTTTAAAAAAAATCTAATTACATTTGAAGATAACTTAATGCTGATAAAAAAGGTAATGTTTAGTCCATTATATATCTTAAAATCAATTGTGGTTATTTTCAATAATTTTTAATCATTTTACAGCAGCGGAAAAGCGTGGAAAGGTAGCTTTGGAAATGTTGGACAGTATGAAGAGCAAAATCCCAAGTACATACCATCAAAATCTCAAAACAAGAAGGGAAATGTTGCTGGTTTATATTTATAAGTTTGTATTTACATACATACATACATATTCATATTTGATTGTAAATGTTTTAAACAAAATAAAATTTATTTTAAAATACACATAATCCACAAATTGGTTTTCAATAAATAATATTTCAGTTGCGTATACCGATAATTTCAATCCAGATTACCGAATAATAATTTAAAATAGTTGTGTACACCATATATTCAGTAATAGTAAACGAATTTTACAGTAATTACAATCGAATTATGGCATAGTTGTGAGAACCGACTGAATTCGATTGGAAACAAATTCGGTTGTCACAATGAATCTGTTTTCTCTGTGTATGTATATTGTAGGTCTTTATAAGATTCTATCCGTCAGGAGGAGTTTTGATAAGGTTCGTTTGGTATTGAGAATGCGCAAAATCGGTTCACCATTTCACCTAAGCATGTACCAGGTACATTGTACCTCCAACCAAATTAAACCATTATATTGTAAAGTTTAGCGATACTTTGACTCTAACTTCCTTATTCATTCGATCGTCTTAAGATTATGAATAGGATAGGCAAAACATATTTAAATGTATTAACCAAAAACCAGGGTAAAAAAGTCCTCTTTTATTTACCTTTCCTTAAAAATAAGTGTTCATATATAAAAATTAATTAATTAATTCTTTAACAAAACTGATCATAAACATTTGTATTCTTATGTATTAAAAACACTTTTAATATTAGAAATTCTTTATAAAATTTTGTTAGTTATAAACTAGAAATTGAAAAACGCAGAACGTATTTAACAAAAATTTTATAAATTATAAAACCAATAATGTCGAAATTGCAAATATTTTTTGCAATACTACTTGCAACATTGCAATACTGCTATAGTTTACCTTATAGAGCACAATCGTTAACAGAAGATATTGATTCGCCAGAAGTTGGAACCTATTGTGGCCACCATAGTCATCAGCATAAGGAAAACTATCACCATAATGAAGAATTTAAAGGGCAACAACAATATCCTTTATACAATAATGTACATTATATACTATATAATCGTTTAGTACAAATACCTCAGGATCAATATCATAGACCAGAATATGTTAATCCAAATATGGATACAAGTGAACCTAGTTATCAACACAATCAAAATCATATCTATGCTGATGCTAATGATGACGTTGAGCTGGAGTTTCAACAGAGAACCATTCAAGATGCACCCAAAAATTGCAAGAAAGTTAATTTTAAGGGAAAATGTATTAAGTATTAAATAAAATCCATAAAATTATTTATAATGCAAAGTAAGCATAAAATATTTTAAATTGTTAACTAAAAAAAAAAAAATAAATATTATTTAAACTTATGACTCATTTTCTGGTTGATAAAAATTTCAATTGTGAAATTCTATAGAAAACAAAAAATGAAATTATTGCACTACAGGCGTTGGAAGTTGAAAAAATATTGTTTATTTAAATTGTGTTTTTATTCAACAGCAAGTTCAAGTTCATTGCAAATATATTTAAACAAATGTTCTTAAAGTGTCATGTGTAACCCAGCAAAATAGTTTTCTTTGAATTGTGTCTTAAGTCGAATCGTTAGTAGACAAGTGTGTGGCTGATGTTTCGAATTCTAACTAATAAAATTGATTTATTATGTATATATTTAGATAATTTAATAATGTGATTAAAAAAAACTATTAAAAAAACTATATTTGTTCTAAAATATTTTTTATTTTTGGACGATTTTATTATATATAAATTTGTCATTCCATTTGTAATTTCCACAATATTTCAGCTTTATAAAGTGTATATACACTGAAAGTTAAAAAAGTCGAGACCATCTTTGATTTGACATATCGTGTCCTGAAATTTGAGAAAACACCATTTTTGAAACATTATAACAGCGCCACGACAACTTTATTTATAAAATGTTGTATGCCATCTGAAAGTCCATTCTGAAAACTTTAAAATAAAGGCTTATTATCTGACATATTATCTTTCTTCTTCGAGATATCTGCACCTAAAGCATTAAAACTTATGGTTTTTGGTATATTAATGGTATTTACACCCTATACTACATATAATGCGGAGGGTATTATAATAAACAAAAATACGGAATTCACACCCTTCTGATAATGTTCCTACTGACTCGAAATCACTTTCTCATTCGACTTAACGATGTCTGTACGTCTGTCCGTCAACTTCAACAAAAAAAGTATACTTCGGTCTCTGGATTAAAAATTTGTCGGCCTGTATTATCCATGCTTAATACACCGTCCATATAAACTATTAATTTAATGAAAAAAACTGCGTTTTTAGTTTTTAATTTCGTGAACCTGTGTCCTTTTTAAGGGACTTCAAAGTTTTAAGAAGTACATTTTACAAAAAAAATCACTTTTTGAGAGTGGGTAACTTATTGTTAAAGTAAGCATTCTGTTAATTGTTGCAATCATCGAATACATTTTTAATAAATTTTTTACCTAACTGTTTAATTAATTTGATTAATAAACTAAATCAAATTTATGAAT